CTGGTAGGTCTGAACTGCCGCCATTGTGGTTATCAGTCCAGTGATTATCCTACAGCGCCACACAAGGCGAGGTGCTACCAACTTTCCTAGGACATTTTAAACTACTGAGGTTGAAAAGTATCACTGCCTACTGTATCTTCCCTGGCGGATTTTCATTTGAGTGGAACCCTGGCAGGGGCTAAGAGTTGGGCTGCTAATCAAAAGTTCCGTGAGAAAGATGAACAGCCTCCAAACCTATGGGGCAGCTCTGCTCTTCTTAGAGGGTCACTGAGTCGGAATCAATAGGACAGTAATGGATTTTCATGAAGACCTGAGTCTTTTACTCTTTAAAGAAGCCATGTAAATGAGTAGAAAGCCACAAACCAAGGTTAGCACTGTTTCAAGTGAAAAACAAAATGGCATGGACTTAAATGACTTTTGTCCCACAGGGTCCCGCCCTCCCCTGCTTAATTGCTTATATTTCCCCTTTGTTGTTGTTATTAAGTGCTGTTGAGTCGGTTCCAACCCATAGTGACCCTCTAGAGGATTTCCAACGAGCGACTGGTGAGCTTGAACCACCAACCTTGCAGTTCAAACTGACTTTGCAGTCTAGCGCATTAACCCACAGCGCCACACCAGGACTTAGCTAGCAATAATTCATCTCCATGTTTTGTCCCAAACTGCCAGTGAGACCAGTCACCTGGTAGGACAGGCAAGGTGGCCCAGGGTCCCTTTTAAGCCAGCCCTAAGGAAGCTGTGGTTGGATGTCATCCCACATCCGGACTGAACAGATCTGCTGGGCCTCAGCCACTTCCTCTGTAGTTCACCTATCTACCGAGAGGCTGCTAGACCCGGGGACGGAGTTCCCATCCCCTAATTTTCTTTCTCAGGTTATTCAGAGGTATTTGGCAAGACCAGCTGCCCAGGCTATGCCTTCACTGGGCAGCGGTAACGCAGCTTTTTTCTTGATTGGATCCTTGGGTCTCTTAAAGTCTCCCAGCTCTGCTCACCACAATCCCTTGACCCTGCTTCCCCCATATCTCTTCTGGGGGAGGAAGGGCAACATTCTAAACACAAAGCTTAACGCTCTGTTCCCCAGTGTAAGCCACATCTTACCAAAAGCTTCCTTCTTGTCAGTTTAGCCAGGAAATGGTAATGGCTTGTGCTAGCCCATCTTTTAAAACATTCCTAGTGCTCAGCTGCCATGAAATGGATTGCTTATGGGGAGATAATGTCTGTTCTATTCCTTTTTAAGTCTGTGAAAAATGTCATCCTGGTTAACAGGGTGATTAAAACTTTTTCTGCTCCAGAAGATCAATGTGATTATGTTTGTCATACTCTACCCAAGATAAAGATGGCAAAGGAGGCGAACTTGAAATTCCTTAACAGTTCCTCTCTTCCATATTTGGGAACATTCAGAACTCAATACACAGATGGTACTTCACATAAAGAATAACATTATCTGTTAAACATTTTTCCTTTCCATTAACCAATTTAACAATATGCCTCTGCTATCAAATGAAACAGACAAACAACACAATCTTCTGATGGTAGAACACTACCGTTTGGGTCACAATGCTTGTTTCCTTTCTCGTTTTCATCTTGGATGGCTTCAGTTTTGCTGTTAAACTGAAACTGGAGTCTGCAGTTCTCTTCTCAGGACCCTGTACCACCGATTCACGGCCCTTCGCCAGCTAGGGCGACAGTAACTCACACGGGAAGGATCTCACAAGCACTAAACATGGCACACTCGCATTGTATTCAGGACACACACACACACATGGATTCAAGCCTGGGGGGTGGGGAGGAATGCTTGTGGGGGTCACACCCATATGGCAGTGGGGGGGCGGGGAGAGAGGGCTGGGGGCTCAGGCACTGGGAGTCCAGCAGGCGAAGGTACAGGGAGTTGGGGGGCACCAGCATCTCGGCTGAGGCGGGCTGACCATTCTATTTCTGTCCCCACTGTGCACTGTTCACTGGTGATGCCTGTGTGGCGGTGTTCTTCTCCTTGCAATTTTAAATTAAACTTTCAGAATTCAAAACATTTCATTCTGAAATTAAAGGTTGGTGGTTCAAACCCACCAGGCGATCCTTAGAAACCGTATACAGAGTGACTATGAGTCAGAACCTACTCGACAGCACTTAACAACTGTAGCGTATAAACAATTAGCGATTATGTTTGCCCTCCCTAAAACTCATGGTCACAAGGCTGCTCATCTACTAATGAAAAAGCACCATCCAGTCTGAGTCACGGCGGCCCCTTGTGTCAGAACTGTGCCCTGCAGCCTTTCAGTGGCTGAGGGTTCACAAGTAGGCCACCAGGCCTTGAATCTGTGGTCCTTCTGGGTGGACTTGAACCTCCAACCTCTTGGCTAACAGTTAGTTAGCCATCTGCACCACCGGGGCCAACAGCTATGAGACATGGCTTTTTCCAGGCGTGGTGGCTGGGTAAGCATTACCACTTCGTTTTTTTCAGTTTGTTGTACTTAAATAAAATGTGTACTGTGTAGACTCCCGCACCCTCACCTCCAGGAGACCCAGCTAAGGTGTCTCAGTCCCCATAGCAGGTGCTGTACCATGGTCACCAGGCCCTGAGAGGTGACCCTGCCCCCCAGGAGTTTCCGAGGCAGGAGTCTATGAACTAGTCAGTGGTTCTCCAGGATAACTGCAGTACTCACTTCCTCCTACTGGGAGAAGCCTTGACAGATGAACAGGGATGGGATTTGAGCTGTGAATGGTGGGTTTTAGGTGGCACCCATTTCATCTAAGGGAGCCCCTGGCCCTAGGCTGGTAACAATGACAAAATCTGCTCCCTTTGGCCCAGTCTTTTCTTCATTTAAAGGCTTGAAATCTTTCCTGAGTGAAGATTTCATTAAATCTTCATTAAAAACACAAAAGGTGGCTGAAGAGTCCTTTGCTGGTTTTGGTCCCCTAATCAATGTCACATCGCCACGTGACTCCCAGACGCTGATGAATCGTGTCTAATTACCAGTACAGTGATGTCCACGAGGTTACACGTCCAGAGAAAATTCTCACAGTATGCAATTGACATCTCATTTAAAAACTGTCCCCAGAACTTAAAGGTTTCGTGATAATGGATACATTTCAAATGTGCTTTATGAAACCTGACTGCTAACGAGAACCTCGACAATTATAAAGAAATTGCACAGTTGATATTTAACCAGAGGTTTCCTCTTCTGGACATATTGACAGTAAAAATATTTCTCTTCTCCAGAAGTTTTTAATTGAGTCTGAAAATAATTACATGTAGACACTGTTTTCCGTGTGCATGTTTGTGACTCCAGAGGACAGGGAGGACTCAGCATGCATGTAAGAATTTAGTCATCAGTTTCTGGGCGGGGGGTACTAAATACTGCGAGTTTAGACGATGCTCAGTGAACTTCTAGGTAGATGTGTGAGTAAGGACTAAGTGGCTCCTTTCTACTTTACACTGAGGTAAAACTACACAGGTCAATGTTCAGAACCAGCGTCTTCAAAAAGGACATTTTATTCCCTACCACCACCACCATCATCTCGTAGCTTGACTGTCCCTGTTAAAGTTGTCAGGGTCTGTAACTGGCTCCCTGTCCTCACTGTAGGAACTCCCAGGCCTCTGGGGGAAGCCAGCTGGTTCATCAGCAGGAGCCAGCTATGTAGCAAACACTCTGGTCACTAGTGGAGCCCTTCCTGGTACCATCTGATTGACTCGGACTCACAGAGACCCTATAGGACAGACTAGAGCTGCCCCCACAGGGTTTGCAAGACGGTAAATCTTTCCAGAGGCAGACTGCCACACCTTTCTCTGGTGGAGTAGTAGCTGGGTTTGACCTGCTAACTTTTCAGTCAGCAGCGGAGTGCTTTAACCACTGCACTACCAGGGCTCCCTAACAGGATCTCACATGTCCATAGCCAT